GGGGGGGGGGGGAGGGAGGGAGAGACTATCTTGACCCTGCCTGGCAAATTAGGGAAAGCTTCCAGACAGGAAGGGAAAAACCCTTGAGCTGACAATGAAGGTTCTACGAGGATTTGATTAGATGAAAGGATGAGAAGGAGAGGTGAAGAGTTATTACAGAAAACAAAGAAGCATCACTATGTCTCTGAGGATCTGAGAGAAGACCAGTAGAAGAGGACGAGAGAAAAGAATACAGGAGAGATCAAGAGAAATGGGATGGGTTAATTGAAGGATAGAACAAGCAGGACCTCATAGATGGTTTTAGGAATTTGATTGGATCGATTTTGCTAGGAGACAAGATTAGAGCATAGCCAAACAATACCTGGGGAGACCAGTTAGTGAGCTATTAGTCCAGATGAGAGATGATACAATAAGCCAAGTTGATATTTCTACAACCACAGCTAGTCAGATGTATCCAGAGCCTGGGCTGCATTTCTTTAGTCATCTTCCCACAAGTTTGGAGGAAGGGCTTCAGACCTGAGGGTGTGAGGTGGGTATTCCTGCAGGCAAGCAGCCTGGTTTAAGAGAATAAGGGCCATACAAGTGACAAGGGGATTCTTGTAAGAAGAGGTGGCCTAGAATAAGGAGTCAGAGCCCATGGAGGAAGAGGAGGCTTCTGCAAGGGGGAAAGGAATTACAAATATAGAATGGGAGAAACTTAGATAAAAGCCTGTGATGTTACAGTGGACTAGGGTGTACCAGCACTAATTCATGTCATCATTTCAGACAGACCATGTATGGATAGATAGATATAATATGTGTATAAGCACACATTATGATACTTACATGTTCCTTAACATTGTCCACTGAGAAGGCCTCAGAGCATCAAGACCCCACCAGCAATGGGTAAGTCTGGCTTCCAAATTTTATTTTTCATGAGGAAAAAAATCATAGTTCCTTACAGGTATGTTTCAAAAAGCAGGAAAGTGATCAAAGAAAATTGATATATTTCTAAGACTGAGATGATGTTAGAAGGCATCTTGAGTGGGAGCTTTTCCTGGCCAGACTCTGGGCAATTTGACCATCAAATGGATAATAAGAATGGATTTTAACCCACTGAATAAAACAGGAAACCAAAAGTCTGTACTGCCATAAGTAAACAAGTGACATTGAAAGTTTGACAAGGAATAGGATATTTATATGCTTTAAAGTGCCATTCCAGGGTTGGGAATGTGACTTAGTGGGAGAGTGCTTGCCTAGCATGCAGGAAACCCTGGGTTTGATCCCTCAGTACCACATACACAGAAAAGGCCAGAAGTGGCACTCTGGCTCAAGTGATAGAGTGCTAGCCTTGAGAAAAAAAAAAGCTCAAGGACAGTGCCCAGACCCTGAGTTCAAGCCCCAGGACTGGCAAAAAAATATAAAGTGCCATTCCATAAAACTAAGACTAAAATTATAATTATTAATTGCAGAGGAGAAAAAGAGCAATATGAGAGAAAAGCCTGCAGACACCATCTTAATAAGGTATTTAAGATGAGTTCTGGGATCACCTTTTCTGCTTTATGGTAACTGACTTTGGAATTGCAAATAAAATCAATTAAAATCTTTACATTGTAATTGTGTCCTTTGACAAGTTGCCAGGTGTGGTATGGTAATGAATGCTTATAATCCTCAAAAGTGGGAGACTAAGCAAAGAGTTCAAGACCAAGTTCAGCTTGGGCTACATTGTCTTTAAAAACGAAGTGACTAAAATGGCTTAGGAGGGGAGGGATAACTACAGAAAAGCCTGATGAAAACTCAGCATAAGTTTTTCAGGCTAAATACTCTGCTAGCCATTGCTGCTCAAGACTTAATGATATAAACCAACAGCCATTTTATTATAGCATTCTCTTACTTTCAGGGGATGACTGTCAAGATTCCCAAGAAATGCCTGGAACTTTGGAAGCTACCAAATCACATGTATATGTGTATTATACATATTATATATACAGACATCTATATGATAGAATAATAATCATAATATTCTTAGTAGATTATGTATAATAATCATATAGATTATTTCTGCATACATACCTATGATAAAGTTTAATTTATAATTTAGGCATAGTATAAGATTACCAAAACAGAAAATAATAAAATAGGACAATTGCAACAATATACTCTAGTAAAAGTTACTTAAAAACATATAAATTATTTCTTTCCGGGATTTTCCATGAAAAATTTATGGTCATTACTGACTATGTGTAAAATAAATAAAATGAATATAAGCAACAGGATAAGTAAAATCCCATGCCAACTAACAGGATGAAGTGAGAACACATCACCTCTGTGATATTCCTGCCCCAAATCCATAACCTGAGTCCAGCCATGAGCAAGCAACAGACAAAAGCCAAACTTAAGAAATGCTTTGTAAGATACTTGATCTATCATCACTAAAAGTTTCAAGGTCATAAGTGACAAGGAAAGATTAAGAATCTCTTCCAGAATGAACTAAAAGCATACTACAAAGTGAAAAGTGAGATTCTGTACTGCAATTTGTTCTGATTACATTCCCTTCCCCCGCCCCCCTCCCCCGACACTTTTTTTGTTGTTGTTATAAAGATGTGATTAGAAGAACTGGAGAAACTTGAATGGGATTTTCTTAGTAGAAGAGGTTGATGTGTGGTTATGAAGGAGATTATCTTTATAGGAAATAAAAACTGTCTTTATAGGTAATATCCCAGAGACAGGGTACCAGATAAGCAACTTGCACTCATATTCAGACACTGACTGTCAGGGAGAGTCTTTAAATGTTCCTCCATCATAGTTACTTCACTTTTTCTTTTCAGTGCTAGAAATTGAACCTGGAACCTTTCACATGTTAAGCAAATGCTTTCCCATGGATCCCCAGCCTGAGAATTTTTTTAAATGATAGTTCTTAAAATGCATAAAGTAGTTCATGCCTAAAACTGTAGATGCTGAAGAATGGATATTTAGTGAGCATCACATATGTGTCTGCTAAACCTATGCTTCTCCCTCTCAGAGTTGCCTCCCCTATATATACAAATAATGGGTTCCCATCTCTTCTTTCTTTCTTTCTTTCTTTCTTTCTTTCATTCACTGGTTGTGGAGCTTGAACTCTGGGCCTGGGCGCTGTCCTTCAGCTCTTCAGCTCAAGGCGAGCACTCTACCACTTGAGCCACAGTGCCACTTCCAGTTTTCTGGTAGTTTATTGGAGATAAGAGTCTCATGGCCAGGCACTGGTGGCTCATGCCTATAATCCTAGCTAATAAGGAGGCTGAGATCTGAGGATCATGGTTCAAAGCCAGCTCAAACAGGAAAGTCCATGAGACTCTTATCCAATAAACCACCAGAAAACCAGAAGTGGTGCTGTGGCTCAAGTGGTAGAATACTAGCCTGGAACTGAAGAGCTCAGAGACAGAGCCCAGGCCCAGAGTTCAACCCCAACTGACAAAAAATAAAAAAGAGTCTCACAGACTTTCCTGCCCAGGCTGACTTTGAACCTCAATCCTCAGATCTCAGCTTCCTGAGTAGCTAGGATTACAGGCATGAAGGGTCCCATCTTAATATACTATGTGCCTGGCCCCCAGGGAACAAAGGCAGATTCCACACTCAAGCTGAGCCAGCAGAATTCTATCCTACAGCAATTTATAATCAGAAATCAGATGTTAATTAATTTCTATTACCCACCCTGGAGGATATGTACATTCAAGCATCACAAAAATATCTGGGGGTTGTTGTTTTCTGCAGTGAGAATAAGTATTAAAATCTGGTCTGCAGAGAGGATAAATGAGGTGGCTACTCAGAGAGAAGAGTTGAGAAACAAGGTTCAAGTGAGACTGAGGGCACAGCCTAGCTTTCTTACCGCACTCCAATCTTAGCACCGCATCAAGCCTCAGCTCCCTTAGGACACTCCAGCAACTTAATCCATTTCCTCTGTTTGCACAAGCTTGGCAATAGTGGATTTCTGTCACTTGTAGGCCAAAGTGTGTCATCTCCTCCCCCACTTAGTGCCAAATTTACCACAACCTTGCTCTTTTACAAAAGGTGTCTTCATGCCTCTTTCAAAGCTGGATTCTTTTAGCCATTGGTGAGATGCAACAATATAGCACTTCTTAGGGACACCAAGGGGTCTTAAGTCATTTCCACTCACCAAGGCTGGCCTCAGCCAACAGCAGGTAAGCAGGCACGAGCTCTACTGAACTCAGGCCATGCACATTCCTGCGGAAGCGAAGCGAATGTAATGCAGCGGGTACAGCATCTTCATGTTTGCCTTCAAAAAGATATTTCTGGGCCACAGTATAGCAGAATTCAATCAAGTGCTTCTGTGGAAGGAAGAAACAATCATCTGAGATAGTCCAAAGGTAAAAGGCAAAGATAGCTATAAGTACAACTGGAGATAAAGGCAAGCATTGAATGGTCTGGTAGAAGGCACATAATGAACCTACCTACTAAGGTAGCATGAGATCCAAATAGATCCAATTATGAACTGTGAGCTCCTCAAGGTTCAAGAACATGTGTTTTTTCATCTTAGTTCAGTGCTTGGCAGATATAAAGGTTTCAGATGAACAAATATGCACTATTTTCCTAGCTATAACAAAACTTCAACAAAGCTAAAGATGTCTCAGGATGAACTAAAATTTTCTGTCTTTCAAGTCAATTTTGAGAAAAAGCATCTACTATTTCCTTCTGGGATTATTCCATTTAGCTAATAATAGCAGAAACAACTTTTTAAACTCTATATTTTTTTCAGGCTACTACCAAGATGCCATACACTAAAGTTGATCAAATTGGACTTTAGGGACTTATGGCCTATAAAGGGCTAGTATTTTAAAAAATACTTGTAGTAAATAATATAAATCAGAGTTAATTTTGCAAATCTTTTAAAAAATTTTGGTATTAGTGCTGGGGCTTGAATTCAGGGCATGGACTCTGACCCTGAGCTTTTTTTGTTTAAGGCTATATCCCTACCACTTGAGCCACAGCTCTACTTCCAGCTTTTTTTTTTTTTTTTGATGGTTAACTGAAAATAGAGTCTCACAGACTTGACTGCCCAGGGTGGCTTCAAACCACAATACTCAGATCTCAGCCCCCTGAGTAGCTAGGATTACAAGTATGAATCACTAGCACTGGGCTATTTTTAATTGTTTTAATTTCTTTTCTTTTCTTTTTGGGATAGGATCTTTGTAGCTCAAGCTGGCTTGGAATTTATGAGCCTCCTGCCTCAAACTCCCAAGTGCTGGGATTATACCTGTGTACTTCTGTGTCTTGTTCTAATCTACTTTATTTATTCACCAGTTTTATTTGGAGTAAGTTGGGAAGGGAACAGTACCAGAATTTAAACTTAAGACCTTGCATTTTCAAGGCAAGAATGCTATCACTCGAGCCATATCCCTCATCATTTTTTGCTTTAGTTTGCTTTAGTTTCACATAGGCTCTTGAATGTTCTTACCTGGGCCATGATCCTCCTATTTATACTTCCTGAGTGGCTAATAGGCCTACACCACTGTACCTGGATATTTTTGGTTGAGATGATATTTTATATTTTTCCCTAGGCTGGCCTCAGAACCATAATCCCCTATCATGCTTGCTTCCTGAATAGCTGAGAAAACAGGCATGAGCTATCATGACCTAGGGTTTTTGTCTTTTTTTGTCAGTCATGGGGCTTGAACTCAGGGCCTGGGTGCTGTCCCTGAGCTCTTTTGCTCAAGGCTAGCACTCTGCCACTTTGAGCTTTTTTTTAGTGCTTATTTGGAGATAAGAGTCTCACAGAGTTTGCTGTCCAGACTGTCTTTGAGCCATGATCCTCAGATCTCAGCTGCCTGAGTAGCTAGGATTATAGCTTAAGTCACTAGTACCCAGCTGACCTAGTTTATCCATCATTTTAAACCTATTATGTGGTCAGATATATGGGGATGCTACAGGCTGAACTGTGTTTCCAACAAAAGTCATGTGTTAAAGCCCTACCTTCTAGTCCCATATGTCTTCTGGTAGTACTTGGAGGTAGATGCCACCCATTCTGTGGCAACTTGCTATGATCACTGTAGCAAGGTAATAACCATGAATATTCAGGAAACAAGTGGCCTTGGTTGGGACAGAGCTTCTGTCTGCACCACGGTTATAATTTAGTGATACAAGCAGTTCCAGGAATGTGTAGGGCAGCTTCACTGCACCCATGAGCTTACCCAGGAACAGTCCAAGGGGACCCACCTGCCGTTGCTGCAGCTGGTGCAGGCCATGCTGCCTCTCTTCTTCTGAATTGAAGAAGGGCATGGTAGTGCGCAGTGGAATCAGAAGCTGGCATATCTTCTCATGGATGCTGACCCAATCAGCTCTTTGGTGCAACAAACTACTAACAATAAAAAACATGGATTTCATTATCTTTCTCTTTGGCCCTCCTACTGGACTAGCTCTGGACACAAGAAAAGGGAGATCCTAGCTGGGCACCAATGGCTCACACCTGTAATCTTAGCTACTCAGGAGGCTGAGATCTGAGAATTGCGGTTCCAAGCCAGACCAGGCAGAAAAGTTCCTGTGAGATTATCATCTCCAGATAACCACCAGAAAACCAGAAGGGGAGCTATGGTAGCTTAACGTGGTAGAGCTCTGGCCTTGGGCAAAAAGAGCTCAGGGACAACCCTGAATTCAAACCACATAACTGACAAAAGGAAGAAAGAAAAAAGAAAAAAAGAGAGAAAGAGAAAGAAAGAAAGGGAAAAGAAAGAAAGAAAGAAAAAAGAAAGGAGAGAGGGAAGGAGGGAGGGAGGGAGGAAGGAAGGAAGGAAGGAAGGAAGGAAGGAAGGAAAGGAGACAATTTTACATTGTCCTAAGATCATCTTCAAGATATCTAAATATTGAGGTTGATGAATTTGAGGGTTATTTTATTCCCTTGGGAAAGGGAAGGACTTTATATTTGATGAGAGTTTAGGAAAGGCTTAACAAACACATTTTTCTATAACCAAAATGCCAAGATAACAACTTGTGAGGGCACTCATGTAGAAGGCACTGGCAAAGCACCATCCCCAGGGGTTGCAGCAGGTAGTCTTGCATGAGAGTATATGATGACTGGAAAATAAAACAATGTCTGTTATTATCATTTTATAGGTAAGGTGGCATTTGCAGAGAGATTATAGAGTTACTCTAGCCTGTATTCCCAAGTGAGTGTTCAGTGCTCCTGAAGGAAGCATAGATGATTTGTATTACCTTGTTCCTGTTATACGTGTGTACCTAAGTACTTCAAAACATTCAATTAGACAGTATACCTAGAGGACATTTGGATCACTGTAGAAAACTTTGATTGAACAGTAGTCCAGTGTAATACCCATTCCCATGCCTCATATAATTACCACTATAAATGACCCCTAATCTACTACCCTTCCTCCAACCATGTTTTATTTCTCATTTTCAATTGTAATGTTCACATCTCATAAAATTCCTAATTTTTTGCCAGTCCTGGGGCTTGAACTCAGGGCCTGGACACTGTCCCTGAGCTTTTTGCTCAAGGCTAGTATTCTAGCCACAATGCCACTCCTAGCTTTTTCTGTTTATGTGGTATTGAGGAATGAACCCAGGCTTTTGTGCATGCGAGGCAAGGACTCTACCACTAAGCCAATTTTTAAGACTCTAATTTAGTCAGAAGATTCAAGGACATTGTCATTATCTAAAAAAGCAAACTCTGCACTTGTTAGCACTCTTTGCAATTCCTCCTTTCTGGTAGTGATGTCCAGTGACCACCCAGTCTCTTGGCATATAAAAGGAAACAGATGATGCATGCTCTTTAGTATCTGGTTTCTTTCACTTAGAACATTGTTTGCAAGGTTTATCCATGATAGATGGTATATAGTTTATTCCTTTCTATGACTGGATATATAGTATATACTATATATAGTATATAGTATAGTATATACTATATTGTAGATAGTATATACTATATTGTAGATATTATATACTAGATAGTATATATAATATATGGATATAATACTCTACTCTGGTGCATCCATATAATAGAATATTATAATATATATGGTACATCTATATAGTAGAGCATTATAATGCTCTATGGTATATCCATATAGTAGAGTATTATACTATATCTATGTAGTAGAGTGTTTATTCATTGGTAGACAGATTATTTCCATTCTTTTTACTAATATGGATAATGCACCAGTGAACCTTTATGCACACTTTTTTTGTACAAACAAGTTTTAAATATGTGGAGTATATAGCTAAAAATCTAACTTTTTCAGGAATTGGCAATGTTTTTCCACAGTGCTGTATCCTTTTATATTTCCACCAACAATGTATGAGAGTCTAATTTCCCCACATCCTTACCAACACATTTTTCTTCTGTCTTTTGATTATAGACATCCTAGTGAATGTGAAGAGGGGTATCTCACTTGTGGCTCTGTTTGTATTTCCCAAATGACTAATAATGTTGAGTGTCATTTCATGGGAAAATTGGTCACTTTATATCTTCTTTGGAGGAATATTTGGTCAAATCCTTGCTCAGTTTGTTGTTGTTGTTGTTGGTTTGTTGTTTTTTTTTTGTCAGTCATGGGGCTTGAACTCAGGGCCTGGGTGCTGTCCCTGAGCTCTTTTGCTCAAGGCTAGCACTCTACCACTTGAGGCACAGCAGAACTTCCAGTCTTCTAGTGGTTTATTGGAGGTAAGAGTCTCACAGACTTTCCTGCCCAGGTTGGCTTTGAACCATGATCCTCAGATCTCAGGCTCCTGAGTAGCTAGGATTACAGGCGTGAGCCACTGATGTCCGCCTTCCTTGCTCAGTTTTTAAACTGAGTATTTTTATTATTTTTTTTGATCGGTCGTGGGGCTTGAACTCTGGGCTTGGGTGCTGTCCCTACACTCTTCAGCTCAAGGCGAGCGCTCTACCACTTGAGCCACAGCACCACTTCCTTATTATTGAGTTTTAAGAACTACTTATATATCCTAGATACTGAATCTTGATCAGTCTGTTCATCAGTCTGTACACTAATTTGTACAAATTAACCTTGTTCTTTAGTCAGTCACAGAGTTTAAACTCAGGGCCTGGGCAATGTCTCTGAGCCTTTTTAACATATCAATCTTGTATTCTACAACCTTGCTAGTTTGATTTATTAGTTCTAATCATATTCTGGTGCTTTCTTTTGGAGTTTTCTATATTACAAGGGTGTTAGGATTCACCTGGGAAATGGAACCAATATTTATTTATTAGGGAGTTGGTCTATGTACTATAGAGAGTACACATTGCTACAATCTGATGTCACTTGGGGAGCCAGAAAAACCAGTATTGTAATACAAACTGAGTTTGAAGATCTGCTGGTTGAAGTACCTAATGTTTTAGGTCTCAGAGTCTGAAGAACAAAAGCCAGAAGCTCTATTTATTTTGCCAGTCCTGGGGCTTGAACTCTGAGACTTGGCAGTGTCCCTGAACTTCATTTGCTCAAGGCTAGCATTCTACCACTTGAGCCACGGCCCCACTTCTGGCTTTTCTGAGAATTTTTTTTTAATTGGAGATAAGAGTCTCATGGACTTTCCTGCCTGGGCTGGCTTCAAACCATGATCCTCAGATTTCAGCCTCCTGGGTAGGTAAGATTACAGGTGTGGGCCACTAGTCCCCAGCTGCCAGAAGTTATTATATGTAAAGGTAGGGGAAGAGGGATGTCCCAGTAAGACAGCACATCCACCTTCCTGACTTTCTCTTCTGTTCAGGCCTTTAAGGAATGAATAACACCATTTACACTGGTGAGGGTAATATTTACTGTCTACTAATTCAAGTCCTGCTTCTCACTTATGCTCTCAAAGACACATCCCGATTTTTTTTTAACCAACAATGTGAATATTTCTTAGCTCAGTGAGTGATACATTAAATTAACCATCATATCCAGGTCAGTTCCTCCAAGGTATGTGTCTGTTACTTCATTGTTTTAACTAACTGTTCTGACTAGAATCTCTAGCACAATGTTGAACAGAGTGCTGGAAGCAACATCCTTATCTCTTTTCCATTTTTTTTTTTTTTTTGTCGTTCGTGGGGCTTGAACTCTGGGCTTGGGCGCTGTCCCTCAGCTCTTCAGCTCAAGGCTAGTGCTCTACCACTTGAGTCACAGCGCCACTTCCAGCTTTTTCTGCTTATGTGGTGCTGAGGAATCGAATCCAGGGCCTCATGCATGGCTCCCACTGAGCCATCTTCCCAGCACCTCTTTTCCATTCTTAGTAATGAAAGCTCTTGGTCTTTGATCATTAAGTGTAATTTTAGCCTTATGTTTCTGTATGAATTTTTTCATAGTTGTCCTTTAACAGAAGTTCCCTTCTTATCCTAGTTTATATATCTTTTTTATCATAAAACATGTTAGATTTTTGGCAAATACATTTTTCTAGAAAATTGTATGGTTTTCATGTCTTATTCTGTTAATATGTTGTATTGTATTGCTACTTGTATGTTGAACCAATCTAGAATTCTTAGAACAAATCCCACATGGTCACGAAGTTTATTCCTTCCTTTATGCTGGAAGCTTTGATTTGTTAACTTTATGTTAAGGAGTCTTACATATATAGTCATCAGGGAAATCTGCCAATAGAGGACTTGAAATCAGGGTTTGGGTGGTATCCTTTAGCTTTTCACTCAAGGCAAGTGCTCTGCCGTTTGAGCCACAGCTCTCCTTCCGGCAATTTGGTGGTAAGTTGGAGATAAGAGTTTCATGGACTTTGCTGAGTGGATTGTTTCAAACAGTGATCTTCAGATCTCGGCCTCCTGAATAGCTAGGAATACAGGCATGAGCCCATCTGACTTTTTAAAATTAATAACTACATCCCTATTTTTTAAATCAATTTTGGTTCCTGTTCTCAGGTATGTCTAATTTGTTGCCATACAATTGTTCATAGTATTCTCTTATAATCTATTTCTGCATGATTGGTAGAAATGTCCCTAATTTCATTTCTGATCTTAGTATTTTGCCAAACTTCTCAAGTAACCAACTTTTGTTTATTGTTTATTTATTTTGTTCATTGTCTCAGTACTTTTTATTTATCTCTGCTCAAATGGTTAATATTTCCTTCCTTCTGCCACAACATCTACTCACAACACAGCCTGAAGAGGAGTTCGTGAATATGGTATTAGTTCACTCTTCTTTCAGTTTGAATGCTAAGTTATAGAAAGTTTTAAAAGTATGTATTAAGAGCTATGAATTCATGAGTACTAAATTCAAATACTACTTTCTGAGCACTGCTTTGTCTGGATCTCAGGTTTTAGTGTGTTTTCCTTTTCATGCATCTCAAAGTATTTTAACACTTCTTCCTGATTTGACCTGCTAATTTATAAAAATTGTACATTATTGTGAATTTGTCAAATTCCCTTCTGTTGATTGCTAATGTCACTCAACTATAGTTGGGGAGCATGCTTTGTATGATATCAATCCTTATTCATTTATTGAGATTTGTTTTATGACCTAATTTTTGAACTGTTCTAAAGAAGGGTGTGTACACACTTGAAAAGAATGTGTATTAGCTGGCATGGGTGGCTTTAACCTGTAATCCTACTAAGTAGGCTGAGATCTGAGGATCATGGTTGGAAGCCAGCCCAGGCAGGAAAGTCCATGAGACTTATCTCCAATTAAACTCCAAAAAGCCAGAAATGAAGCTCTGGCTTAAGTGGCAGAACACTAGCCTTGAGCAAAAAAGCTCAGAGACAGCACCCAGGCCCCAAGTTCCAACCTTAGGATAAACACACATACACACACTCACACACACACACACACACACATACCACATAAAAGACTGTATTATGCTTTTATTTTTCTAGAGATGTCTGTTACATACAGCAGGATCCTGGTGTTATTCATTACTAGCCAGGATTTAGAAATAGCTAAGTTGCAAGGGTTTTTATTAAGTAGGAATGTACTGAGTAATTAATTGTGTGACAAATGGAAATGGTAATGTATTTAACTGCTTGAACTTTTGTTCCACTGAGAGCACCTGACACATCTCACCCTTCTAAACACAGGGAACGTTTATGAGTTTGTGGCCAACCTTTCCATTCAGCCCTCTCAATATGAACATCCAACACAGGAGTGGGGGGAAGGTGAAAGAAGGAACTAGTAAGTCTGGTAAGTTTCAATCAGGGCTCACAATTGTGAGCCAGACATGTTCTATTCAGGAATTAATGTGTTTTGTTCAACTGCATCTTAATGACTTTAGGAGGGGCATTTATTCTACTATTTATCATAAGTCCCAGTATTTCTTATTCTTTTTTTTTATTATTTCTTATTCTTGAATGTTTTCCTTCCTTCTCTTCCTGGCCAGTGAAGGTATTTAAATGTGTCCCCTAAGATACATTAAAGGAAAATTTATTGCAAGATACTGTTATCTATATGCCATGGTTTGCACATAGAATACTGAGGCCTCTTTTATCTATCACTAAGATTTCAGTGTATACTTTGCAAATTATCTTTTCTTCAAAATCTTCCATTCCCTAGGAACATATTCACAATCAAATGTGAAAAATATGTGTAAGTTCACACATAGAAAAAAGTAAATGTATGTTGGAATAAAAAGAATAAATTTCTCTAAAATGTCAGGTTATTGAGCTTAATGGTGGAAATATCTCTCTCTCTCTCTCTCTCTCTCTCTCTTTCTCTCTCTCTTTCGACAGTCGTGGGGCCTGAACTCTGGGCCTGGGCACTGTCCCTCAGCTCTTCAGCTCAAGGCTAGCACTCTACCACTTGAGCCACAGTGCCACTTTTGACTTTTTTGGCTTATGTGGTGCTGAGGAATGAACCCAGGGCCTCATGCATGCAAGGCAAGCATTCTAGCACTGAGCCACCTTCCCAGCCCCGGCTTCTCTTTTATTTTTTGCATTTCCAAGTTTTCTGCAGACAGCTGAAATGGCTTTACAATTAGAAAAAGGATTCTCTTGTGGGAAAAAAATGGTAAGAATTCAAAGTTACTATATTTTTCTTTTAATTCCTAGAACTGTGGTTTGAACTCAGGACCTGAACATTGTTCCTTGGCTTTTAGCTCAAGGCTGGTACGCTACTACTTGAGCCACAGCTCCACTTTTGGCTTTTAGGTGGTTAATTGGAGACAAAACTCTCATGGACTTTCCTGCCCAGGCTAGTTTCAAACTGCAATCCTCAGATCTCAGCCTTCTGAGTAGCTAGAATTACAAGAGTCAGTCCCTAATGCCTAGCTACTATCATTTTTGCTTCCTAAATCTGAGATAATGGAAAAGAATATTTACTATATGTCAGTTTAGTCCTGGGCACAGTTTTACCAACCATCAAAAGTCATAGGATAATTATCTCAGTTTTGTGTTTATCAAATGTTGGAACATAAGAGCATAGAAATCCAGAGAAAAGAATTGGGGAGAAAAGAAAATAAAACATTTAAGAGAATTAAAAAGCAAGCGAAAGAGGCTGGGGACAGAACTCAAGAGGTAAAATGCTTGTCTAGTATGTGTGAGGTCCTAGGTTCAATCCTTGGAATTGAGGAAGAATAGCAAGTAAGAGGATGGAGAGGAATAGCATAGGAAGTGATCATTTATTCATATCTTCATCAAATATTAGTGAGAACTATTTTAAGACTTTGCTGAAGGCCATGAACATATACAGATTAAGAGATAGCACACATGCCAGCTCTGCACACATTGGAAATTAATGGAGCACAATAAAAATTGAGACACTATGCTTACCAATAACTGAAATGAAGACAAGAGTCATTGGAGAGGTGCAAAGTGACTGCAAAGTGAATTAGGAGGAAGGAGCAATTACTCTGGCTACAGGGATAAAGAAAACAATGGTGTTTTGAGAGAAAGGAGCCACTCACACCAGAAAAAGATATTGAATCTCTCCTGTGTGCCAGACCTGTAGTAGGAGCATCCATGGCTTGCCAGAGGACGATTTATAAACTCCTTGATCTCATGTCCGAGTCACATATCCCTAATCTTTGATCTTATCGATTTAAACTCCTCCCAGGAACAACAATAGATTTTTCAACCTTTTTCCTTACCACTACTTATAAGAAGAAACATTTTCTCCTCATAAAATAAAATGTTGAAACAATTCACGCGGGATTTAACACGTTGAATTCAATGCTACATGTTACAATTTTCTGGCACTACCACTCTCCTACCCCCTCACTGTCTTAGTTTCCAGCACACTAACTGGCCCTCTCTCTATTCCTCCAAGACGTGAGTCCTGCCCGTTGGCCATTTTCAGGGAGAGTGCTCTTATTTTTATCTTTAGATCTATAGTCTGCTCTCACAGAAGCTGTCGACCAATTGTTGACACGTTTCCTTTATCCATCTTACATTTCTCTCTAAAGGGACTTGTGTGTGTGTGTGTTTACTTAATCTGTCTCCCTTGTTAGGTATCTGAAGGAACCATTTACAGAACTGGCCCGTTAACTTCAGCACCTAGAATGGTTCAGAACACGTAGCAAGACCTCAAAACACATCTGATGACAAATCAGTTCGGGGACACGGGAGTCTTAGAGGTGCCCAGTAGGGCAGAGGTGCCCACCACCACGCAGGCCCACAAGCCTGGGCCCGAGGTGGGGAAGGAGGAGGGGAGGAGGGCGGTGAGGCGCCGGGTGCCACGATCCAGGGCCTACCAGTAGTACGTGACTGTACAGGCCGAGCACACCCGCTCGGCGGGGGCTTCGCACACCTCACAGCAGAGCCGCCGCCCCTTGGGCACCGCCAGAGGGTAGATGACGTCCATCCTGCAGCCGGGTGTCAGTCTGTGCAGCCGGGTGTCAGTCTGTGCAGCCGGGTGTCAGTCTGTGCAGCCGGGTGTCAGTCTCTAGGACGGTTGCCGGACGCCGGCATCACGTGACCACCACGGGACACACCAGTATTTCAAGGTCAAGGGGAGGTGGGGGGGGGGAACGCCGGACTGACACCCGCAGTCTATTTTTGACGCCGGTAAGAAATAAAAGGCACAAGATTAACCCGTCCCAAAAGGTGAAGCGGCCAGAGAACTCAACCTCCAATGGAATCCAAGTTCGGGGAAGGCTGTATGGTGGCCGGAGGGGGCCAAACAAAGCCAGTTCTTTGACACCTCTGTCTTTCCCCACCTGCCCCGCTAGAAAATTAACTGAAAGGACTGCGACTTTTGTGGGCGTTTTACCCTCCCTCTCCTCCGCAGCCCGGAGGAGAATAAAAATTTTCCACAGCACAGTATCCTTTTCCCTAGGCTGTGAGGCAGGAGAACCTGACTTCTCCAGACTTGGAAAGAACAGCACACAAAGGGGCGAACATTGGGCCACTGCGGCTGCGCGCGGGCCAGGTAGCGGGAGGGGCGTGGCCCCGGCAGCGGGAGGGGCGTGGCCCCGGCAGCCCGGCGGCTCGCAGGCGCAGACGTCTCGGCACTCATGGCGGAAGTGGACCTAGTGGCTGAGTTCCCCCGACCCGCGGGTGCTGCGCGCTGGGCCGAAGTTATGGCTGGCTTCGCGGCCAGGCTGGGCGCACAGGGCCGGCGGGTGGTGCTGGTCACGTCAGGTGGCACCAAGGTCCCTCTGGAAGCGCGGCCGGTGCGCTTTCTGGACAACTTCAGCAGCGGGCGGCGCGGGGCCATGTCGGTCGAGGCCTTCCTGGCGGCGGGCTATGGGGTCCTGTTCTTGTATCGCGCTCGCTCAGCCTTTCCCTATGCCCATCGCTTCCCGCCTCAGACCTGGCTGGCCGCCTTGCGGCCCGCTGGCCCACCTCAGGCGGGCCTCCTGAGCCTAGAAGCCGAGGAGAAGGCGCTCCCGGGCTTCGCTGCGGCTCTGCGGAGCTACCAGGAGGCAGCGACTGCCGGCACCTTCCTGGCGGTAGAGTTCACCACTTTGGCGGACTATCTGCATCTGCTGCAAGCTGCGGCCCAGGCGCTCAACCCACTAGGTGCGTGCCCTAGGAATCCATTGATTTCCTGGAGGCAGAGCCATTCTCCCCCTTGTCTCTTGTCACCAAGGGATCTCACAGGCAGGGAACACTGGTTGAAAAGGAACTGCTCCCATACTCCTCCTGGATTCGTTATACCTCTGCTTCTCTTTGCAGGCCCTTCTGCGATGTTTTACCTGGCTGCGGCCGTGTCAGATTTCTATGTTCCTGTCTCTGAAATGCCTGAACACAAGATCCAGTCATCTGGGGGCCCACTGCAGGTGATGGGCACTTCTCTTCCAGAGATCTGATCCCCTATAACCAATCTTGGGTTAATTTTCTCCTGATTTGGAGATGGCCTTCTTGCATTCTGTATGCGCTAGGCACTGGGGACACAGAGATGAATAAGACACCGCCCTCCCTCAAGGACTACACAAGCTAGCGAGGGAGCTGGACACAGACATAATTACAATACAGAATGCTAATGCTCTAGTGGAGGTAGGTACAAAGTGCAGTTAGACCAGGGGAGGGAGTGAACTGGGAGAGCAAAGGATTCCTGCAAGAGATAAACTTGAACTGGGTTTTTTAAGACATGCAGAGGGTCTTAAAAGTGGGGAAGGTCATTCCAAATGGATTTGTACAGTTGAGATTGGAAGTGGGCGTTGGTGAGGTGTAGAGCACACTGAAGAGGTGGCTTGGTTGAAGATATGGCTTGATTCATATCCCTCTTGAGCTTTGGCTTTGCCCTGTGGAATCAGAGGGCACGTATATAAGAGAATGAGATTGAGTTTTTGTCTGAAAAGTATATTCTGGCATTATTTTGAAAAGTGAAATAGGGAGAGATTGGAAAGGGAAGAGGAGTTAGAGGTTATTTATTGTCTTTTTCTGGAGAGATATGGGAGGTTGGTGGTGTGGTTAAGATGCTAAGATGATTGGGTGTCTTAGAACCTAAGGGAGTTTTTTAGCAACTTATTGGGTGATTCAGGTAGAATCTACATAGGGGAAACTACTTGTGAGGCATCTGTAGGATAGTTATTTGGTTGTTTCTTCAGCAGATATTTGTGGAATACGTAATGTTGTATAGTAGTCATAAACTGTTGTGGGACATGGGAATGAAATCATTGAGAAGAACCATACATAGTACTTGCATTACTTATACTCTACAGAGTAGTCCAGTGGATACTATGTTTGGCACTAGTGGATGTCAGAAATGAAGTGGGGAACTAGATGTCATCTGTATCTCAAAGAGGAAATCCTGATCATTATTAGCATAGTGATTTCACATTTTTAGAATGCTGCATCTTTAACCCTATTCTTTAGTTTTATCTTGAATATACCCAAAATGATTCACCATTCCTCTTTGCAGGGATTAGGAAATTGATGATAGAACTTTTGATCAAGTGAAAATAAAGTCATTTGTTTTCTCAAGGCTAAATTGCATGAGATTTGTAATCTAGTTACAAGTGAATGGAATTATAAATAGAATCCAATAGCCATTCTACCAATATAAGTAATATTGTAGATTGAGAAGTTTGATTTTTTTCTCCTTAATCAAAAAAATATATATATATTCACCAGGTACCATTGGCTCATGTCTGTAAGCCTAGCTACTCAGGAGGCAAAGATCTAGTAATTGTGGTTAGAAGCCAGCCCAGACAGGAAAGTTAGTGAGACTCTTATCTCCAATTAACTACAAAAGAGCTGGAAGTGGAGCTGTGGCACAGGCAGTAAGTACAACACTAGCCTTGAGCAAAAAAGCTCAGGGGTAGTGCCCAGACCCTGAGTTCAAGCCCCAGAACCAGCACCAAAAAACAAAACAAAATCCACAACAGTGGGAGCCTCTGCTAAAGCAACATTTGTATGAGCAGATTATTTATGAATGTCTACATGAGGGCAAGCTTTAAAAAAAAATAGAGGGAATGTTTGAGAAAATATGAGTGGTAAATCAGGGATGATTTAGAAAATGTGGATTTCTGCAGAAAGTGAATGAGGGCATTTTTATGAACCCACAGCACCAAAACTTTTTAAACCATTTAAGCTTTTGAGAAGTTTGACAAAGAAATCCCGCTCAAATTTATATAGGCAAAATATGAATTCCCAATTCCTTGCTTTCCCTTATAGGTAGTGGCCATTGCTTATTAAGCTTTTCTTTTTCCAATGCAGATAACAATGAAGATGGTGCCAAAAATGCTCTCTCCTTTGGTTAAAGATTGGGCTCCCAAAGCATTTATAATTTCCTTTAAGTTGGAGACTGATCCTTCCATCATAATTAATCGTGCTCGGAACGCTTTGGAAGTTTATCAGCATCAAGTGGTGGTGGCTAATATCCTTGAGTCAATACACTCCTCTGTGGTTATTGTAACCAAAGACTCGGAAACCAAGTTATTGCTGACAGAGGAAGAGGTAGCAAAAGGCATAGCGATAGAAGAGAAAATAGTAGATAATCTTCAATCTCGACACACAGCTTTTATATGTGACAGAAATTGAACTAAAAATCTCAAAAATTATTATAGGATCAAAAATTATTGAGTGGACCAGGTCTTCTACAGATGTCAAGAACCGAATAAATCCTTTGCTTTCCTAAGAACAAAGAAAATGAAGGGAACAGTTAAAGTGGTGTGTGCAGGCTAATAATGGGTTGATATTTCTCTTTTAATGGCCACTTGACACACCTGAATGTCATTGTGATTTGGAAATTGAACCCTAGAACTGTATCTCACATTTTTGAAAAAGCTGTTAGGAATTCACTACCAAAAATATATGTGGAGGGCTGAATGCTGAAGATCAGCTTAATACATACTGTAGAAGGAGGATTATGGATACATGAGTAGCTGTGCTTTGAAGAGCAAGTATTTGTTGAGTGCCTACTATGTGCCAGGCCCATGGTGAGCTGTGAAGATTGAAAATGAATAAACATGTCTCATTTAGGAAATGGATGTATAAAAAATGAAGTGCAATAAAGTGTATGCCCACAAACCAACACATGGAAAAGATTTTCTTTTTTTAGAAAAAAATTACCAGAAATGGTAGAAGGAAAGAAAAATACCTCCCTGAAGAGAGACTGCCTGTAGGTTGCAGAACTTCCCACTACATTTACTTTTGCTTCTTGTCCTGTGCTTACTCCATATTTGAGTAACAATTTACCTCTCATATATTTTAGAGCTGCTTTTGAGGGAAATTTCATAGAGCCTTCCACTTGGAACTAGGCAAGGGCCCATGTTGGGCACTGTGGCGATGTGTATAGTTTGGTGTCACCATAGCCAGCTGTGCCACCCACTAGCTTTATAAACTTTAGGCACATGACTTAATCTGTTTTCTTATCTATAACATGGGGATAATAAATCTCAGCAAGTGATAAGTAAATAAAACATCAAAGATAAAGCACTAGTCTTGTATCTGGTTGCAATTATTTACCAAGTCTGTTAATGCCAGACCCTAAGATGATCCACAGTACAATTTGAGAAACTACCATTAATATGTAGGATGATAAACATTTCATGTAAATATTTGATTATGGGATGTAACCCAGTGATAGACTGCTTGCCTAGCATGTAGAAGGCCCTGAGTTTTATTCCCAGCTCTGAAAAGTAGAAGAATTTGAACTATAGTTAATATTTCAGAGAGTTGTGAAGATAACCCAGTATATCCTACAAAAGAGGACACACAATAAATTTTAGTTGAGAAGATTTGGACAAAAGTGCCAGGGTAAACTAAAATACTTCATTAAATCAAGAAGCGTGACCTTGAACGGTGTAAAAATAGCCAAGACTGAAAGCAGCAGCCTTTTGAACAAACATTTTTGATGAACTTTAGGTCCATTTGTCAAAACATCTGATTCAGCAGTGGTTGCCATACTGAAAAGCAGTAAGTAAAAGACTGATTTTCCTCCCTGCATCTAGTCTTGTGTATGGTGACTGCCATCTTTGCACAGTGGCAGAAGTGGAGTTAAAATTCGAAGTGATTAATTTTTTCACCATATTGCTTCTTGTGGGAACCACTTCATTTCTTTTGTTAACCTTCACAAGGAGTTTTTTTTATAGTTTCAACTTTAGTTTTAGTATCTATTTAGAACACTTAAAAACAATATTTACACAGTAAAAAATAGGGGTTTGTGTGGGTGTTGTAACAGCAAGTTGAAGTGTTTAAAGAAAGGAACATGAATCAACAAAAATAAGGAACTCTAGATTGGAGGAGCAAAGAAGGAGGTAATGCTGAAACGTAAATAGGATTAAGTAGTAGAATAGGTAGTAGTGGTGAGCATTTGAGAATGGTGTAGGGGTTGGGGAATGAAGAACTTGTAAGGGCTGTCTTAAGGTACATGCACAAAAAAAGAGATGAGATCCATCCAGATAATGCACATAGAACAAGCAGACATTTGGATTTACAATTCCAGTAAGACCATGTTTGGGGTACTGACAAAACAAAGGGCTCTGAAATATAAGTGAAATTGAGCTTTGACAAGCTCAACCTGAAATCGTGCAAAGGGTATTCCCTCGCCCCCCAGGTCATCTTTGAATACTATAACTCGTTATAGTTCAATTTTGGCTCGGTGAAAAGTTTATTTTTGTGGTCAAACATTTATTTTGTGGTCGAAGGGCTTGGACTCAGGGCCTGGGCGCTGTCCATGAGCCTTTTTGCTCAAGGCTAGTGCTCTACCACTTTGAGGAGCAGTCAGTTCCGGTTTTCTGCAGGTAAGAGTTTCATGGACTTTCCTGCCTGGGCTGGCTTTGAATCACGATCCTCAGATCTCAGTTGCTAGGATTACAGGTGTGGGCCACCGGCGCCTTGCTCACTTAAAAGTTTTTATTTTGCATTACTTAAGTAGTAAGAGATACAACCCACCCAAACCGAACTTTCATCGGTTTTAAGTGTGCCAGTCGTAGTAATTCCCAAACCCAGCATCTTCATTTTTACAATAGGCTGTTTGAAAGTACGTGGTTTCATCTGGACCACCCTAGATGGTTCATGACAGATATAGGCCCCAAACTCTGTCCTAACACCCTACCCTGAGAAGGAAGTAACTAAATCTAAGGTAAGTAGGCCAGAGGTCTGACCAGAATCAGAATTAGACTCTATTAGAAGTGTGTACATCAACGCCGTATAGTTACTATGGTTACTGCCACCTCCAGAGCCAATAGACTGAGTCGTGCTAATGAGACCGCAGGGAGAACCCCGCCCTCCTTGCCTGAAGGCCAATGGTATGCGCCGTAACAAAGTTTTCAGAGGAAACGCTCTCCAGGGCGTGCGTCGTAGCTATGGTTCCCACCGGAAGCACGCCTGTGCTCTCTACGGCCGGTGCGGTTGCTATGACGCCGGAACTCGGTGGGCCGCTGTGAGCGGCCAGCCAGGAGCCGAGCGACCCTCGGAATCTCGCCGGAATCTCGCTGTAGCCTCTGGGAGAAAAGTTTCCGATCTGCTTCCTAAGGTCCGGGACTCCTCTGCGAGAAGGAAAGCGTTGCTTCCACATTCCAAGTCTTTCTCGCTCCTCTCCCAGCACGGGCCCCAAACTACCTGAGAACGCCGTCCGGCTCGGCCTTTGCAGCCCCGGGCTGGAGTAATTCGTCCTGCCGAAGGATCCCTGCCCCACGTCCCCAGTGACCTCCGCGCTGGTTTCGAGCGGGTTTAGAACTCGCGGGACGAACATTCCTTTTCTCATTTCAGCAACTGACGGAATCCAGCCCTCGAAGGGGACGACCCGCCACCACCAAGTCCACGGAGGCACAGTTTTCCCCTCCTTGTAGTTGCCGTTTTCTTCTTTTTGTTTTTGTTCGTCATGCAGAACCTTGAATCCCAATGAAGCTCAGGAAGTCTGCGGTAACTCCAGCATCGGAGATCATCAAGTCAGTCAGTTACCCTCTGCCTTCCAAGTTCATCTATTCTCTCATCACTCCAATCAATCACGTTTCCTCATCTTCTTCATCCCACAACCATTTCTACCCTCTCCTGTCCACGCGGCATGTTATTGATGGCCAGTCGTCCTCACCACCTCTGTCATCCATCCACCACCCCTCTTCTGCTTTCCTATTGCAGTGTTTTGCATGGCTAAGCATTTCACATTCTCCAGCCCTGCAGTCGTTGTGAAGATTTTCTGTCTCTCTGTACTGTGGCAGGCTTTCTGTCTTGGATAAATTGGAGCCTAGATGGAGAAATGAACATTGCTAAATATATACATTAGATTACTGCAAACCTAGTACATTTGAAAATGGAGAAAAAAATTAAAATGGCAGTGTTGGATCCATGTCAGGTTCTTGTTTAATTAGCCCAACGTTCAGCATAAATGTTAGTGATGTGAAAATGTCATTCAAAAATAATCATAAAACAGACCATATAAATTCAACAAACTGAGAATTTTCTAGAGGAGAGATGCTTGAAACGATGCTTGTGCTTCCTCTTTGTTTTCTGAAGAAGAAAAAAAATCTTCCCAATGTAAACCAATGAAGAGGAGAGACTGAAAACAAATATTTTTTGGCAAGGGAACAGGCTTAGGACAGTATAGAGTATAGAGCAAGAATTTTAGTATGGAAAGTGTGATTAGTTTGTCTTGTGTGTTGACTCTTATTATTTCTTAAGTATTCAGGTTTAAGTATGGGGGGGAAGACAATACTGGCATTTGAACTGAGGACCTCAATTGGTATCCATGACCCGAGAACTTTTTGCTTTAGTTATTTTGGAATAGGGTCTCACATTATTGCCCCTGGCTGGCATTAAACTACACTCCTCCTATGTATGCCTCCTATTGTAGCTGGGATGACAGACCTGTACTGCTATGCCCAGTTTATTGTTGAAAAGGGTCTTCCTTTTTGCCCAGGTTGGCCTTGAACCAATCATCCATCTGCCTCTCAAATAGCTGAGAATACAGTGTAAGCTACCACACCTAGCTAAACGTAAATTATTTGAATATATACTCATTTTGTATGTGCCAGCATTGAGGCTTGAACTCAGATCCTTAAACACTAGTTTAGGGTTTTTTTTTCCACTCACAGCTGGTGGTCTACTACTTGAGCCACACATTCTGGCTAGCGTTTTGCTGGTTTATTGGAGTCTCATTGACTTTTCTGCTGGGCTAGCTTTGAATCTGGATCCTCAGATCTCATCCACCAGCAACTAGCTAAGTATACATTTTGAATAGATACATAAGGGGGGTAATAATTTTGTATGTTTTGATTTTTCAGGACAATTGAAGTATTTGTGTTATCTCATGTCTAGAGTCATGTCATATTTCCCAATTATGAAAAAGTTAGCTTTGTCTTCTATGACAATTCAGACAAAAAGAAATTCTGCTTTTTAAAATTTTTCACATTAAATGGAGCTAAGTAAACTAACTTTGAAGAAAGATACTATTATTTTATAAACCATTTCTTGAACAATCATCATTGACAAAGCTAATAAAAATTAATTTTTCCTATTATCATGGCATATGTATAAGTCTCCAAGAGACATTGTATGGAAACAGTTTTAGTTACCACAATTGGGAATGTACTTCTGGCATCTTGTTAGCAGAGGTTAAGGATGTTGCTATATGTCCTACTGTGTGCAGGACAGTCTAGAAAACAATTACCAACCCAAGGTGACAGTAGGGACAAATTCTTCTGATCTGTGTCAATCCCCTCATGTGTGGAATTTTACATAGTTAGGATGTACATTTTATCTTTTCACTTAATTTTATATGTTGAACATTTGCCATATTGCTACATTGTTTTCAACTTTTTAAAAAATATACTTCTCACTGCGGAATTTGAAAGGAGAAAAGGCTATATAATATATTTAAGAGAGCTGCGTTCAAATTGTATTTACATGGAAGGAAGAAAGAAGGGATAAGATGAAAACTTGCTTGACAAGATATTCCCATTTTTGTGGCCAAGCTATTTTACTGTGTTCCTTAGAGTCATTTAGAGACCATTTATATTCAAAGTAAATTCTTTGCTGCTGTATGAGGTACAGTTTTGATCCAGTATGGTCATTGAAAGGCACCTTCTAGGA